CCTTCATAGCGTCCAACTGGTCTCTGGTTTGGGCTCAAGGACAACAAAAACCTATATGTTATGCGTATCGACTCGATTTCTAGACTTATTTCGAACTTGTCTTTGAAATGACATTGAAACGATCTTCAAATAATCTCTGATTTGGAATCAGCGCCCACTGAAACTTGGATCACTTGAGTTTGGATTCAATTGCTCAATGTCTTCTCAAAGTGTCCTTAAAAAGACATTTAAGTGAATGCCCTCATAGACACCAACCGTCTCCGGATTTGAAATTAGTGACCCAAAAGCCCTGCAGTACTGAATACCTTGTAAATACCGTAGAAATTCTTGTGGCAACCTTTCGTCAATACCAAAGAGTTAGTACACCAAAGAACATTCCAAAACAAAACAGTTGAAGGTGGACGTTCCTGCAAATTATCGGGTACACAACACGCTTATTAACAACGGAATTAGACTTAAAAGACTGTGGATCTATCAGCTCTCCAGTCACATATTTCTTATTGCAGTATCACGCATTTATAAATTTTAGGAGCAAATTATTGTGGCCCGTAAATTCTTCTTCACTTTACGAAGAAATTTTATCCGGATAGTTCGACTGAAACTTGAAAGTTTTTTCATTGAATCGCAAGTTTCCGATTCCAAAGTATCTAACCATTTAGAAGCTTATTTTAATTCTCATTCCAACTGGCGAGGAAGTATTGTAAAAATTTCCAAAATAAGATATGACTTCCGTCGGTCTGTCTGTCGGCCTGTCAGCGTTTTGGCTCCTAGATTTTGATGAAATTTTGACACAAGGTTACTACTATTCCAATCACAGAAAAGTTGTGTATGTCTTGAAAATCGATTCAGTAGCAGCGTGTGAAAATAAGAAAATAAAAATCGCTCAATTACGTTTCAACGTACACCTGATCACTTTCGAAAACATTTTCGTAGGGGCTGAAAATTGGGGACTGGAGGCTGTAGGAGGCTGTAAATGTTACGTCTTTAGTATCAGTCAGACATTGTGTGTGTGTGACGCGATGCTGCGACGCTGCATCGCCGTGGAGGCCACTGCCGACTGTGGCAAGAAAACAAAAAAAATCGCTCAAACTTTTTTTGACGTTTCAAAGACTCCTGCATCTGAAGATGAAGAAACTGTGGATGAGGGGTTGATGCCTCTGTTTAGGTTTATTAGCTAACGATGTTAACTCACAACGTAATTGACTTGGAAAATGATAACGATTAATGATAAGACTGATCAGCTAACAGTACTCGCGGCGATGTGCATCGGGGTTCGATGTAGAATTTAGGAGCTATAGTGACATTACATGATCCCAGATTATTTTTTCTAAGACAGGCTAACTTGTACCAAACATATTATAATAACTGTGAACAGCTTTGCGGGGGAAGTGCAGAGTCAACCAACATGATGCCATTTTTTTTATTTCTAATGAAAAATTGAGAAATTTGTATCCGAAGATGCTTAAAAGCAAAACTGGTTTGGACGCTCATGGTCCGTTGTAGTCGTGAGAATCATGAGTACGCATCCCGCGGACAGAATATTGTTAGTATGCAAATGACATATTTAATTTGCAATGAAGATGTTAAATTGTGAATTATTTCACATCATTGGCTGCGAACCCTACTCGCACATGCATATATGCAATGCACAAGCCTTACTTTCTCACAGACGCAATATTTAAATTTGTTCCGATGAAGAATACTGTTTTTGCATCCTTCTTTATGTGCTTTGCTAGATGCAGTTGCCAGGAGGCGCAATAACAATACATAATGAAATACGTCGGAGTAATGATTTATCCGTAATAACGGCATCTCCAGCAGCAGTAGCAATTGGAGGATCATTGTCAAGGATGGGGCACTAAATTGTAAGTGCACACACAGTCTCCTACGCTTAGTCACAATGAGTAATGCGCTGTACTAAATGCTGTAACGCTCTGGTAACTAGAACTTGAAGTAACAGTGAGACGCCCTCCTTCATCGACGTAGGCAACCAGAATTACTCCACCCAGAAGATTCCACCGCCATCGAGAAACATCGAGCGTCATCTAACAAGCCCTCTATGAAGTCTCAAGTTCTGCCGAGGATGCTTCTTAATTCGTCGATTCGTAAATAAATACGGGCTCCGAGAGCGGGCAGTCAGAGTCGGATGATGAATCAGCAACAGCGCGGAGCTCAATAGTCCAGTCAACATATTCATAAACTATACAAATAAATAGGTGTCAATATTTTAATAAATGAGTGTGGAAGAAGTTATTAAATTGGACTTTTAATCATGGAAACGGTGATTTCGTTACAATATTAAATAAAAGGCTTGCTATAAGTTAGGGTTGCAAAGCTAAAATTTTCCTTGAAGTGACAGTGGTCAAGAATATCTTAAAACAAAAGGAAAAATATTGCGTAACATGTTCCTGGGGCTTGTTAGGCGATCGACATATTGTTTGTGTAGTCTCACAAGTATACGCATTGAATTTTTTTTGTCATAGTATGGGTCTTCCACATTTAGACTTGTCACAGTCAGTATGGCATGCTTGCCTTGGGCGTACAATTTTAAGTTACCTTTTGTTGATCTTCAATATAATATAGCAATGTCTGCAGATACAACTACAACATTGAACTTATTGGAGTGTTTCGGAAAGTGGAGGAAAATAGCGGTATTCAGTCACCCGATTCACATGTATGTGCAAGAGCGAGTAGCAGCTGCATTAAGGGCCAGTTTGCGCAGCTAAGGTGCGCACATGATACCGCTACTCAATCTGTTTACTTAATCCATATGGCATTGTGACGTAAGCGTAAAAAAACACGAAAAGAGCTATCATACATTAATTGTTCTCGCATATCTCTTTTCCATAATAAAATCTGATAAATATTGCCCACACACTAGTAAATAGTGCGATAACACGAAAATATTTTATAAATAGATTCTAGTAGGGACTAATTTGATTCATAATATCAATATTAAACAAATCTGTTTTGTCTAGTAGTAATATTATTATTGCATGCCTAATATATCGGAATATGGATGGTTGTTCGTTGAAAGACTACAGATGATATCAAATACCTGCTCCATATCTATTTTTTGGTGTTTTAACCTTAGAGCATAGAGGCCATTTTTTTTTTTTGACGGAGAAGTTAAAGAAATCATAAAAATTACACTTTCTAAGGAAAATATAATTATGTATAACCATAAAAATAGATAATTTTGCAAAGAAAGAGGTCCACAGCTAGCCGTGTGTTAAGCGAAAATCACAATCCAAAATACATACCCTAAACTATGGTTTTTATTATTATCAATCAATCAATCAATAACCTTTATTTCCATACGGACAATATATAATTGTATTGGAATTGTCAATTTTTCGTTCACTACAAACCTACAACTAATCTCAAATTGCAATGTTCAAAAATTCATCAACACGATAAAAGCACTTGTTTATCAAAAATTGCTTCAACTGGAACTTGAAGTCGTTAATATTTTTAACCGAGGTAATGTGGCATGGTAAGTTATTAAAAAGAAGCGGACCAATTTTATTAGGTGATCGAAATGCCGCTTTTGATTTGCTGAAGTTTACATATAAATTATTACAAGTCCTTGTATCATAATTATGCATATCACAATTTCGCTTGAATTTTTCATTATTTTTAAAAACATGTAAGCTCAATTCATATATTTACAACGAAGGGACAGTTAAAATGTTGAAACTTATAAAATATTTTTTGCAACTTTCTGTTGGTGAGATGCCTGCTAAGGATCGGATGCATCTTTTTTGAGACACAAATACATCTTCAGAGCGCGTTGACCAACCCCAGAAACATACTCCATATCTTAATCTCGAATCCACATTAGCAAAATAAACTTGTATCAATTGTTCAGCTGTTAAGATATTTTTTAATTGCCTCAACACATAGCTTTGAAAGTACATTTTTGATGTGAGAAATTCGCAGTGGGCCTTCCAATTTAAGTTCGAATCAAAATGAACTCCAAGAAACTTCACTTCTCCTCTAAAATCGAGTTGATCATCACCCAATCTAACTTGAAACTCTTCTACAGTTTATTGAGCATGATGAAAACGAATAAGCGTTGTTTTGGAAGGATTCAAGTAAAGTGAGTACTGGTTAAACCATGTATTGATATTCCTAATTAAGTTGTTACATTTATTTTCCAAAATTATATTTGAATTACTTGATATCATGGCAGAAACGTCATCAGCATATGCTGTAAAATGAGTATCTGGATGAACATTATCAAACTGATTAATGTATAAGAGGAAAAAGATTGGTCCAAGAATAGAGCCCTGAGAGACTCCAATCGAGATGTCTAACGTACTTGACACAAAGTTTTTCATATTGTTCCCTGCATCAAAATATTGACTGAAACATATTGTTTTCTTTGGACTAAAAACGATCTGGCCCATTTAAGAGACTGATCGACAAAACCATATTTAACAACGATCTCCAAGAGTTTGTTGTGATCATTATTATTATTATTATTTATGTAATAAATTATGTAAAAGGGTTGTGTTATGGTTTCTTGAATGTGTTTTCTTGGAAATTATTTACTATCTTTTTGCGAATTGTCAAGGAAATTAAAGTTTTTCCACTTATAAAAATTGTCGGAGGGTAGGAACAATTCCGAGTTGACGTCCTTTTGAGTGAATAGCGAAAAACTTGCTTATGAAATGGTATTCTACACCACAGTATTACTACTCACATTGCAACTTTGAGGTGCTGTAAGATTCTTTGGAAAGAAATTAATAATTTCGTTTTTCATATTATTACACTGTTTTGGATGGAGTTATAAACTTTTGATTCATAACCAAATTATAACGGAACAACGATATAGCTACTGCCGGTGTCATTTACTCCAAATTTCCTGGCACAAAATTGTCCGCTTGTGTACGGCTCTTATTAACCGGTACGCAAAAAATCCTGAACAATTTTCCCAGCACAAAATTACGTCTTTTTCCGAATCCCTAATGACACATAATCGTCTGTTGTTGCAGGAAAAATGCCGCACTAGCCATCCACCAGTCGTCTTCAGCAGCCATGACGCAACACTGGACATTCTACATCTTATTTTCAACTTTTTTGCTCAAATCCCTCAGCAACGGCGCTGAAGATTTATTAGATCAGTACGTGAAACACGTCGAGAATGTAAACAGGATCACGTTAGAGCCCCACGTCAATCTCGGACATAAAAAAGTCACTCCGCTTAGGACGAGTTACTATCGTAGGAGCCTGAAATCAGTCCAAGATGATGCGGACAGGATAAATGAGCAAGATACGACGCCTATGTTAAAACTTAGTGAGACTAACAGTACCGGACTTACCCAACAACACAGAGATGACTTACAAGTGCAGCATGTAAAAAACAAAACACACAAACAGAGTGGACAAAGTACACAAGAATCTAACGCAGAAGTCACAATGACAAGTACCTCAAACCTAGATGTGTCTAATAGTTCTACACGTGTCCAAAAAGGTGAAGAGCCTGGAGGTCAGCCAGTAAGAAACAAACAGAAACATAAAAGTGTTCATAGGAAAACTTCTAAGCAAGAAAGTAAGAGAGCAGGTGAACAAGTCACAGTGCCAAATGCGTTGAACGCCATTGAAAGTAACAGGTCTGTACTTTCTCGAAAACACGAAGAGCAGGAACGACAGGAAAATAAAAACAAAACTCATAATCATAGAAATGGCTCAAAGAAAGGTTTGAAGCAGCAGTTTAGAGCGACAGATACACATAAGAAGAGTTCCAGTGAAACTAAACATGTACCTCAACAGAAAACATCACATAATCACAAAAAAGGGAAAAAACATGAAGCCAGTGGTAAGGGCAGGCCAGAGATCCAAGAGGAATCTGAACTGATACCGATGAGACTCGATAATTTTGAAAATGCGAATCGTAAACAAGGTGGCAAACATAAAAAAGGGGAAACGAAGAATATAACAAATAGAAAACACCAACAACCTTCACCAACAGACTTGAACCTCAATGCTCAAAACAGATCTGGACTTATTCTAAGATCAAGAAATAAGAAGAAGCTTTCAAAAGAAAAAGTAAAACCCGACGAAGATCACGTAAATGATGAATCTAAATCTAGATTACATTCTAACCTTCAAAGCAGCGAAAATTTTCACAAACACAAAAAAGTGTCTGACCGTAAACAACAAATCAGCAACACCGACGACAGCGCTTTACTATTATCTTCAGTTTCTCCATCACAAAATCGCAAGGATGGCTCAAAACAACGAGGAAAGCATACACGGAAACACAGCTCAAGACACAGAGCTCGAAGATCAGTATTTAAAGAAGATTTGAGTGATAGAGGTCGAAGAGATGTGGGTAGTGATATTTTGTGGACTCATTCTGAGACTCTCGATAAAGGAGGATTGGTCGTGTTGAAATGGCAGCCTAGGCATCAGGAAATATTGTTCAGAGTGGAGGCAAGAACTAAAGGATACGTTGCTGTAGGGTTCAGCCCGGATGGCAAGATGGAGAACGCTGACATGGTGATGGGGTGGGTCGATGACAGGCAAGGCCAGGCGTACTTATTGGTAAGTTTGTTGTGTCTCTGATACTTTCTATGGAAAAAAATAGTACACTGCTATAACGGAAAAGTAGATCATTTTAATTTTTTTCAGTAGATAAATAACAGTAGGTAGATTGATGATACCATATTGCTCACCCCAAAGTTCCTTTTGCACCTACACATATGTATAACTTCCTACATGTTGGTCAGAAATAGACAAGGCGAAAACGGCGGCTTCGCCCGAAAAATTTACAATTAGACTGTTTTATAATCACCGTGAGTGTCGCCAAAATAGAGACCAATACGGTTAACCACGCCAAAAACTTTTAAAAAATAAATCAACCAATCTTACTTCCTTCGCCGCAGGCGTGGAATTATTGTAATCGCAAAAAAATTGAAAAAGATATAGTTTTTTTTGTATTATATGACACCTAGATTTCGAAAACCGACATCACTCATTTCCGCCTGTCTGTCAGTCCGTCTGTCAATCCGCTAATCTGTTTCCCGTCTATAACTTGGGACGTACCGCTCGGATTTTGATGAAATTATCAAAACGGGTTACTACTATGCCAAGGACAAGAAAGCTTTGTAGTTTTTGAAAATCGCTCCACTGGCGACAGTGAAAAACGCCAAAAATGTAATAAATAAAAATCGCTAAAACTGGTTATTTTTCCGTTTTTATTCTTCTATCGATTAGCTATAACGCGCAATTATACTTGGACTCAAACTAGACAACTTGTGTAGCTTTCATCGCATAGTGGGCATGTATACGAAAATTATCGAAAGCAGCCATGGCCAAATTGCAGAGTGGATTTGGATGATCGAGCTACATATTTGGAATGAAGAACATTAATCGTCATTTGGGATATCTGCACCGGAGACTTTATATTCCAGTATTAGCTCACTAAATCACGTAACCAACTTTAAACATATCAGGCTACAAGCTTTTAGCGCTCAAAGCGTAATTCGCTCAGTTTCGTAAATATGTTGCGCTGGATGCAAATGTAAGCAAAACTCATATCCACAGAGGGTGTCCATCTAGTTTGAAAGTACAAACTATTCAAACAAACAGCAAACTCACAGTCTACTGGGCAGATCCTCGCAGTACAGCGGAACAAATTACGAAACCATAATCGCATTCACCGTGAAACAACCGAATGGCCAGCGACGCCATAACTTACGGCTCGACGGCGTCAAAGAATTTTCGGTCACTATAAGTAGACAAAGCGTCCCTCAATTGTCAAAACAAAGACTGGCAAAATGACCAGTAATAAGTGGAAATAAATCAGCGATAACTCATCTATTAAGTACGTCCGGGAGAGTTTAGAAGGGGAGATTAAGATATTAAATTTTCAAAATACAAGCCACACGCAGCACTGGCGTTCTTTACACTCACGTGGCAAGATAATTCTGGTCAGATCAGTCTTTAGATATTTCAGAGGAAGACACATTCCAAAACGTCATAGGTATTTAAACGTTCATATTTTTTTCAATATGAGTGGTTCCCACTTATACAATTGATAGAACGGTTATGATTGCTCAAGGCTGAAACATCAAATTTCATGATCGTTTCTAGATATTTGGCAAACTATAAAATCAATTTTTTGACGGGAATCTTTACCCACCTAGTAGAGAGAGACTTTACCCTCGGTTAAGCGAAATAACCACTTGGGTCCTCATTATGATTATTTCCATTGAAAACAGAGACAGACTAGCACTAACGATATTTGGCTGGTTCCCAATTATACAGGGTGCGGCAGAGAGGATGGACGGTTTTAAAAAAAATCATAAAATAGTTAATTTTTACTCGAAAACAAATTTATTGATGGAATCAGGTTCACAAGGAAATAGCATTTGAGACAGTCAAGTGTGGAAAATCACATCAGGCATGTGGTGGCCGAAATCGTTGATGCAGTGCTGGAGGCGTTCTTGGAAGTTCGCGTAGACTCTCTCCAATATCGCTCTCTCAACTTGGGCGACTTCCACGCGAATTTCGCCCTTCAATTCGTCCAGAGTTCGGGGCTTGTTCGCGTATACTCTAGCCTTGAGGTGTCCCCATAAGAAAAAATCGCATATGGATAAATCTAAACAAAATGAGGTTCTCATTTCCGTCTCACGTGCGAAGTTCATTCGTTGTGCATAATCTCCGGGCTGTAACTGTTGCACAATGGCCAATTTGTAGGGGTAAAAGCGGAGATCCATATGCAAAATTCGCCTTACCGAACGATCAATAAGGCGAAGTGCAGCAGCATGTTTCCGGGCAGATCGAGTCGGACTGCCAAGAAAGACCTGTCGAATGCGGAGGAGTTTGAACTGTTCGCGGCGCTCCTCTTGGTCTTCTGTTGATCAGTTCACCACGTCTGCGAAGTGATTCAACCCAATGAAGGATGGTGTTTCGAGAGGGAACAGCTCTATTCCGATGAATGTTGAAGTGGCGACTAAACTCACGCTGTACGACGATGACTGACTCATTATTTCGGACGAAACAATCATAGGCGAAAACGCGGTGCTCCACCGTCCAAGGCTACATAACGACAACTGGTAAAATAATGCTGGGATCTCACGAGTCAAACGGCACCCTCCCCACCTCTCTCGTAGACGGAGGCGGAGAGTACTACCCATCCCAAAAACGTCCGTCCTCTCTGCCGCACCCTGTATTTTGGAAAGCTTGATCCTTGAGCGAAGACTCGAATTAATGTTTTTTGAAATGAGTCGTTTTTGAAAAAAGTAGTTTTGTTTTAATACAGCCTCTATCGATTTACACTGCAACCGATCCATTTATTTCATTGTTTTTTGGGTCGCTGATTACGAATTACGGATTTTGTTTTTCTTTCTAATAATTTACAACATAATGAAATTTTTTATTTACATGATCACAAGTTTTTATGTTTTTATTATTTATAAGGATTTTAGTGCCCATTTTTGGTGTTACTTAATGAAGGCTGTCATTACAATAACGCATTCCTAAAGCAAATTCACGAACAAAATTCAGAGATTCAAGGTTTTTAAAAAACCAGAGCACAAGCCTGCATGGAAGCAGGCAGTCGTAATCTACAACATTTTTTGTAAATATTGTTATTACTTTTCATTCCTTGGATCTTGCCCTCAATGGATTTTCGCCATGTAGACAATATAAATAAATCGTCACAAAGATTTATTATCCCAAATTCGAATCATGATCATCTATGGCGCAGAAACCAAGAAATTTGAAAATATCCCCTTACTATATTATAATCGGTGGTTAGGTAAGATTGTTCTCTGAACCGCGTTCAACTCGCAACCGTGCGACATAGCAAAGCTGCGGTTAACGCTCAACGCCTGCCCGCGGCATCGGCAGGCAGATGTTTCAAGAATATAATCGGAGGCAGTAGACCGACTGAGACTCTCAAACCGTCTTTTAACCCCATAACTTGACCTTCAGCTCACTGAGATGTGACCCTAGATTAAATTTCATTGTTTTTAAAGTAATGTCGTCAGGAGACCACGCTCTTAAGCTGGTTTTCACAATGGCATGAAGACGAATTCTGTTATAGATTACATGGCTATGAGTATGCTCAACATATTATCAGGCGTTTGTGACATTTAGGAGGTGATAATAGTTTGATTAAGATATGCAATCTCTTGGATTAATTTGGTGTTAATCCAGCCTAAACCTAGTAGACCTTGAGCACACACTATTCGAATAACTACTATGTGAAAAGCAAGAATGATTTTTAGCGATAATACATAACATGTCCGGTAACGGCAATCTGGAAGTAGGCGGCGGTTGATTTCATAATTTTTACATTTTTGGATTAAAAAAAATATATGTGGTTTGAAGCTTGTATTTTCAAGATTTTATAGTCTGGTACCAAAACGGGAGGAAGTAGTAAACACATCGTACGCCATTGTTAACCCGGTGTTTTTTTTTAGTGCGACGGGGTTTGAGGACCTATTTTACCTATTCAAGGACATGCCGCGCTTCCAGTATCGATCGATGGGTTATGATTTTCTCTTCCATTGTGGTTCGAAGTTGATACATTGCTAAGTAGAAAAATATAATTTCCAAGCAACTTCGATCCTGCTGAGCACCTGCCAAGCGGATCCAAAGCAATGCAATATAAAAGATGTTTCCAAGACATTGGACAAAAATTCAAGGGTGATTCTTTAGATTATTTTATGAATATTTTGTGTTTTGACGATTTTCGTAATACCACATTTCGTTGGAGAAACATGCTCCTAAAGAATACCGCCAGGAATCGGTTTTTCTTAAATAACGTTTGGTGGCTCAAGTATAAAAATACAATATCGTACAATCAAATGAAATTTTGATAAAATAGTAACTATTCTGAACTAGTCACTCACACAGACTCACACATACAGGGTGTAAAAAATTAGCAATATTTATCCAGCCCTGAAGAACTAAATGAGCTACCTGTTTTCTATGTACACGATTCTGTGACGCCTGATCCAGTTATTACATTTTTAAAATTTCATTGTTCTAAAGTTTTATAGAAAAAAACTGATTTGTAGTGGTGTTTCTTTAGGAGCTTGTATCCACAACACAAAGTTGTATTTCAAAAATCGCCTAAAGGCAAAATAGTTTTAGTAAACCAAAGAATCTCCCCTTGAATTGTTGCTCCATGTTTTGGAAGCATCCAGTATACAGCACACCTTCTTAGCAGCGAGGTATTATTCTCCTATTAATTACGTAAGCTCATGGTCTATAGGGTGTGTCGCTGGTGAAGCATATTGCAGATATGGAAAAAGTGCAGGAATAGTAGAAACAATGGTTTGCTCTTCAAAACATATGTACAAAGTAGAGTCTCTTCCTATACGCAATGTAGAGCATTTCAGACCAGCCCAGAACTGACATTAAGAAGAAACCTGGCTATATCCCAAGTAACTGCAAAACCGTTTCTAATCAATCGTCAAACATTATTTCTTTCAATGTCCATACATAATCTCATGACTCACAATTTAGTTTTACAAATCAGACCGTCAGATATTATTTACTTTTGAACTTCTAAATGGAGTCGTAAATAT